AAGCTGAGTAGAATGAGCTATGTCTAAAGTGTTTTATCCCAAATTTGTAGGAGGAGATACATTTGGCGTGAAGCTATCCAAAAATCAGTTTTTTTGCTGTTGCTATGGCAACGGTGGGCCAAAAAAATTTTTCAGATTTTTCCTTATAACTAGGGTTAAGGTGTGACCTACCTGCCAAGTTTGAACAAAATTGGCCAAGCCAAAAAAATCACAGAAGAAATAATAGTGAACACTGGAAATGTACACACACAGACACACACACACACACACAAAACGACAAAAGTGATTATAAGGGCAATCCTAGCGGAGCGGATCGCCACAAACGACAGCCAGGTAGTCTGGTTGGCGATCCGCTCCGCTCAAAAACAAGCACCATGTTTTTGGCTGTTTCCATGGTGTGACATAAACGTGAAGCTAATGTCGGTTTATAACTAATACGAAGTTCGCAAACACCATTCAGTTTTTGGAAGTCACTTAGTTTATTACTAGGACCACAATCACTCTCCTAGTCGAGTGACTGTGCTAGGACGTATTCTGCTGTTACATTTATTATTTCCAACCGTTTTGCGATAGCATTTTCTAGAATGAAGCGTTTCCTGTAAATGCTGGAAAGCGAAATAATGAAATAACGTGATGGTAAATATTTACCTAGAGTACAGTATGTTGACCTTCATAATAATATACTTCATAATGCAAAACATTAGTCACAGTGAGTTATTTAAATATACGACTCCTAATCGAAAAATATGACCACAGTCCAGAATTTCAGACGGATATTAAGAAACCTAAGAGCATATCAAAAGCATTTACTCTAAAATATAAAAAAGAACTGCAGTCAAAAGTCAAGAATGCCAGCAAATAAAGGACTCTGCCCCACAATCCTTTGTGCGCGTTATTACGGACACGCGCAAAAAACTGTACCACGCTTGTCAAATCTGGGTCAAATATACAGTACGCTACTATCTTGCCACAGTGGAGTGTTCGGTGACCATTGAATTAGCCCGTGATTCATATTTTATGTGTATTAATTTATTCATCAATTTTCGTGACTGACAGTACTGCCCAAATTTTAGTCAATTTTAGAGCATTGCCAGGCGATGGACGCGGGGCTCTTTGGCGACGACCGCATAGAGGTCAAAATACGCGTTCTATTTTTACGCGTTAAATATGGCTCTTCCATTTCGCCCCCTCCGGAATGTTCTACTTTCACAGCCTAATCGCAGGTTTTTCGAAAAACGTCAAAAAAACACAAGAATTAGTAGAAATGTTCCTGTTTTGGGCGGATTATTGATGGAGAATAATGTCTTTATTACAAAAATGCTGAAAAACCGTGAGTTGTTGCCTTAGTTATTTTTTTATTGGCGAAAAACTGCGAACTTGGCAAATTTGGTTGCACAACTTCCCTTTATCATATACACCCAGCGACACCGATAAAACTGGTAGGAGGTAATACATTTGGGGCGAAAGTATTCAAAAATCAGTTTTTGGATGTTGCAATGGCAATGGTGGGCCAGGATTGTTTTCCAATTAGTGACGGCACGACCTACCTGTGAAGTATGAACAAAACCGGCCGAGCGGAAACAATCACAGAGGAGTTAAAAGCCGTTGCTGGTGAAAAGTTACCCCAACTTTAGGGTCTAATTTCTCGGTAATGAAAACAGATATCAAAAATTCAAATGGTAACTTTGTGCCCACACTCAAGCTGAGTAGAATGAGCTATGTCTGAAGTGTTTTATCCCAAATTTGTAGGAGGAGATACATTTGGCGCGAAGCTATCCAAAAATCAGTTTTTTGGCTGTTGCTATGGGAACGGTGGGCCAAAAAAATTTTTCAGATTTTTCCTTATAACTAGGGTTAAGGTGTGACCTACCTGCCAAGTTTGAACGAAATCGGCCAAGCCAAAAAAATCACAGAAGAAATAATAGTGAACACTGGAAATGTACACACACAGACACACACACACACAAAACGACAAAAGTGATTATAAGGGCAATCCTAGCGGAGCGGATCGCCAAAAATATGACCACAGTCCAGAATTTCAGACGGATATTAAGCAACCTGAGAGCATATCAGAAGCATTTACTCTAAAATATAAAAAAAGAACTGCAGTCAAAAGTCAAGAATGCCAGCAAATAAAGGACTCTGTCCCACAATCCTTTGTGCGCGTTATTACGGACACGCGCAAAAAACTGTACCACGCTTGTCAAATCTGGGTCAAATATACAGTACGCTACTATCTTGCCACAGATTGTTTAGTAGTGGAGTGTTCGGTGACCATTGAATTAGCCCGTGATTCATATTTTATGTGTATTAATTTATTCATCAATTTTCGTGACTGACAGTACTGCCCAAATTTTAGCCAAAAAAACGCAACTGGTGAAACGGAAGAGCATTGTCAGGCGATGGACGCGGGGCTCTTTGGCGACGACCGCATAGAGGTCAAAATACGCGTTCTATTTTTACGCGTTAAATATGGCTCTTCCATTTCGCCCCCTCCGGAATGTTCTACTTTGACAGCCTAATCGCAGGTTTTTCGAAAAACGTCGAAAAAACACAAGAATTAGTAGAAATGTTCCTGTTTGGGGCGGATTATTGATGGAGAATAATGTCTTTATTACAAAAATGCTGAAAAATCGTGAGTTGTTGCCTTAGTTATTTTTTTATTGGCGAAAAACTGCGAACTCGGCAAATTTGGTTGCACAACTTCCCTTTATCATATACACCCAGCGACACCGATAAAACTGGTAGGAGGTAATACATTTGGGGCGAAAGTATTCAAAAATCAGTTTTTGGATGTTGCAATGGCAATGGTGGGCCAGGATTGTTTTCCAATTAGTGACGGCACGACCTACCTGTGAAGTATGAACAATCACAGGAGTTAAAAGCCGTTGCTGGTGAAAAGTTACCCCAACTTTAGGGTCAAATTTCTCGGTAATGAAAACAGATATCAAAAATTCAAATGGTAACTTTGTGCCCACACTCAAGCTGAGTAGAATGAGCTATGTCTGAAGTGTTTTATCCCAAATTTGTAGGAGGAGATACATTTGGCGTGAAGCTATCCAAAAATCAGTTTTTTTGCTGTTGCTATGGCAACGGTGGGCCAAAAAAATTTTTCAGATTTTTCCTTATAACTAGGGTTAAGGTGTGACCTACCTGCCAAGTTTGAACGAAATCGGCCAAGCCAAAAAAATCACAGAAGAAATAATAGTGAACACTGGAAATGTACACACACAGACACACACACACACACACACACACAAAACGACAAATATTAGGAGATAAAATTTGTACTGTCTGATTCTATTTTCAGTAAAGCTCACATTAATTGTTTGAATTCAGTATAATGCTGGCATTTGGTTGCCCATTACATTTTTTATCCACTGTACCAAACACAATACATCACTATAGCCACAAAAAATTCCCATAACTGTGAATCATAACTAGTGAGGTTTTTTCGTCTCCCTACAACATTATCGCCAGTGCCCATCATCTTCTCAAGCACATTGGAGGGACTCTGAGAACTGGTGCAGCTAATTATTTGATTGGTTGACTAGTTTCACAGCCTTCAGTCAGATCTGTTTTATTTTACCAATGTGAAATAAACAACCTCTTGTTATAATGTATAGTTTGTGAAGAAATATTTTTAACATCAAGTTTGTTTTTTAGGAACATATTTATTTGTGATGATAAATTACAATTTCAAATTAGAATAACTATATCACTGCTACAGAATATAAGCAGTAACAGTTGCCCATGCATAGAATTTTTTGTCGTGTGGAGAAAACATTGATTGGATATGTTGCATATAAGCCAAGTTTTTTTTTGAAAGCCCATGTATTTTTTTGGACAGTCTATATATTCTTGTATCATGCACATAATATGTTCGGACGCAGTCTGAAAACAGGGACTCATGTTTTTACCTTTATGTGTCTGGACCAATCATAATCAAACTTCACACATATATCATACATAATATTATACATATGTACATCAATTGGTTTCACGATTTGATTCAAGATGGCCAAATGGCAGCCATTTTTGTGCCAAAAAAATCATCAAAAATCAAGCATTTCTGGCATTCCATAACTGGATGTAGGTGTTTATGGATGTATTTTGTAAAAACTTGGTGCATACGTTGGACATTATGGGACCTTTATGCACATAAAGCATTTATGGATGGATTTTGTTAAAACTTGGTATATACATTTGACATTGTGGGACCTTGATGCACATCATTTTATTTTTCAGATCCAATTTAAAATGGCCGACTGAGAGCCATTTTGTTTTAATCTAGTGCCATGTCTCTGCCATGCTTTGACTAATTATGTTAATAATTTTATATATTCATTATACATCATGACATAGGTATATTGGTTTCACGATCTGTTTCAAGATGGCCAAATGGCAGCCATTTTTGTGCTAAAAAATCATCAAAAATCAAGCATTTCTGGCATTCCCGAACTGGATCTAGGTGTTTATGGATGTATTTTGTAAAAACTTGGTGCATATGTCGGACATTATGGGACCTTGATGTACATCAAGCATTTATGGATGGATTTTGTTAAAACTTGGTGCATACTTTGGACATTATTGGACCTTGATGCACATCATTTTATTTTTCAGATCCAATTTAAAATGGCTGACTGGCAGCCATTTTGTTTTAATCTCGTGCCATGTCTCTGCCATGCTTTGACTGATTATGTTCAAATTTTATATATTTGTTTTACATCATGACATAGATATATAGATGTATTCAAAATGGCCGAATGCTGTTCCAGAGCAATATTTCTCAATATGGACAAGTACTCATTTGACAATCAGATACAAGACGTCAATCATTTTAATGATAAAAAATTATCATTATCAAGCATCATCTTCTGGACCGATAGTTCTGGCATGTTTATATTACTATAAACAAAATTATATATCATAAATTTGATAACTAACGGGGACTGTACCATGCATGGCTTGTTGATCATTTAAAATGTTCTCTATTTCAGGCGAAAATCAGCGATTTTGGATTGTCAAGAGCTGTTGGTAAGAACAGTAATTATTACAAAGCTTCAGCAGGTGGTCGTTGGCCTGTCAAATGGTAAGCCAAAACACTAACGTGTTGCAAACTATTTTAAACATTAATTCTCTATTATTAACATTACAGTATTATACATGATTCCCTAAAGGTCATGCATTCTGGTACTGGGGGGGGGGGGGGTGCAATTTCTGAAATTATACTTCCATAATAAGTTGTCAAGGTAGTTTCCAAGAAAACCATGATTGTATTTTTTCAATCAGTATTACTTATAGTTTAAAATTACAATAGGTGTCCATTCATACAATGTTATTCATACAATGTTATTCATACAATGTTATTCATACAATGTTATTCATACAATGTTATTCATACCATTGAATGTGACTTCAAAACAAGTTTTAATTTTCTGGCCACCACAATACATGTGACAAGATTGAGGTTTTCTATTGCCATTTTTTTGGCAATTTTATTCTGAAATCTCAAAAGCATGGAAACGAATAGGAAAGCTACTAGATACTATAATTCATATATAATGTGTATGTCATTTTGTCATTAGGTATGCCCCAGAGTCGATATATTTTGGTACTTTTTCACATGCAAGTGATGTTTGGAGTTATGGTGTGACACTATGGGAGATGTATTCATTTGGTGACCAACCATATGGAGAGATGAAAGGTGTTGAGGTAGGTTGATAGTTTCAGCAGACATGACGTGTGTTTCAAATGGAAGAGGTCAAAGGTATTAGAAATTAAAGTTCGGTGTCGAATCTTTAATGACAGCTGTAGAATTATGAATGTGGACCCTGCTTAATATCTTTAATTGTAAAGGTGTGAAAACTAATTAACCGATGCTTCCTGTATTATTTATTAATGAAATAAATTCTGTGTCATTGTTCGTAAAAGTGTGTTACGTCTTGATTCTTAATAACAGTGTACATGCATGTACATGTACTTGATAAAACCATAAGGTGTTCTGTTCTTGCAAGTGCTTGAGTTTCTCAAAATATTACTATATTTACATAATAACAGCCCCAAATTTGAAGTCCATTTTTTTAAAATCAGGACAATAACTGCTAAATTAAATTAATAAAAAAAATAGTGATGTCCTTTGTCAATATTTTGCAAACCATCTTTTTCTACATGTTAACAATGTTAAATAATGTCTTTTTTTTCTTACCACAATAATATATTTTTAATTACTTTTCATTAATTCCTTTGTTAATTTTGGATCAAATGGACTCAACTCCTTGCCAGTAGCTTGCTCCATAGAATCGTTATTATTATTGTATATTAAATGATATAAATTGTATTATGACGCTATTGTCAGTTTACTTGTTGCTACACAAATATTTCAAAACTGCAGAAGCTCATTTTTATCAAAATCTTCATACATACATAGATGCCATAGGACAACAGGTTTTAGTTTAATATCCATACATATTAATTATCTAATTTGCATGATAATTACCCAATTTTCTATAATGGATAATAATAAGTATTTATTGCTTTCCTAGGCCACCGGCCCATATACAAACATATCAAACCAATGCTTAAAATGTAACGGGTACAAGTAGAATATGATAATATTCTCGGTTATTGATCACATGGATTTAAATAATAATTAATTTGTTAACAATTGTTTCCTAACTTCAAATGCTCTGAACACAAACACACAAATATTTCGTAGAATATCACCATTTGTTGCTTGAA